GCCATTGTGCGGGCCCGACGAGGTAACGGCCCGAATCTACAGCCTGGCACAGCAACCAGAGGTGGGCCCGGAAGCCTCACATGGGTATGCGGTATGTGGGCCCCATATCATTTCAAAATTCCTGAAATCTGAAGTCCTCACCGTTTATAAATTCACCCTTCATTCCCCGTTTCTTCGAACCCTAGGTCGGCATCCAAAAAATTCGTGGAAGAAAAGAAAAATAAAATTTATCAAAAATACCAAAGATTCTCAGAGAAGGAAATGGCGGCAGCGGTACCTAGGGTTTCATTTGGCGTGCTGGCGATCTTCGCCGTCATCTTCAGCATTGTATTGCCGGCGGTTCAAGCTCAGGCTCCCGCTCCGGCGCCCACCAGCGATGGTGAATTTTCTCTTTTTCCCCCCTTTTAAACCAGTTAGTTTTTAGGACGTGAAATCTCGGATTTAATGTTGGATGTTTCCTCAGATCTGGTTTTTTTTAAAATAAAGTTGCGATCTTTATGAATGCATTTTGTTACGCATAGGTGGCAGATCTGTTTGATTTCGCGGGTATTTGAATAAGATTGTTTGAAGGATAAAGGTTGGTTTTTATGAGATTTTGTAATGTTTTAGGTTTTTTGAAAACATTTGTTAAAAATTAATGTCGTTTTCCGGCTGCTTTTCATTTCAAATTAGGAACAATTACATTCAACAACCCCGCCACCCCCCACCCAGACACACAAAAACCCCATTTTGGGGTTTTCCCCCCCTGACATTTTCTATTTCAAAGATGAGGATTTTTTTCCCCTGAAATTTGAATTGATCTGTATGTATGCTAAGATTTTATAGTAGCATTCCCATGTGAATCCTTTTGACTTTATCCTTAACTTTACACTTAATCCCTAATTGTTCTTATAACCATTTATTGTTGCTTATATATTATCATAATGTTTTTTGGGGTCAATTGCAGGAACATCTATTGACCAAGGGATTGCTTACTTGCTAATGTTGGTAGCCCTCATTCTCACCTACCTCATCCACCCCTTGGATGCTTCCTCCTCCTACAAGCTCTACTAAGTTATTTGTTATTGATTGGATTCAAATTGAGGGTTAAAACGTTTGGCATTCTCATTGATGTGGGATCTCGGCTCGTTGTTGTGGGGGGAGTTTCTTTCGTTGTTCGGCTTTCCTTAACAGCCTATGGCCCATTCTTTCATGTGATAGCTAGTTGCAGACATGTTTGCATTTGTTGTGCTCTTATTGTCTATTGATTGATCTAATTTATTCCAAAGTTGTTGGAGAAACCTCTGTGCATGCATTACTATGCCCAACCTGATCAGATGTTTTCTTGGTTTGTCTATATATTAGGCATTTGATTAGAGTCGATGTAGAGCTGTCGTGGGGCTTGTTCTGCTATCTTCGGGCTATTATGATCTCTGAGTGATCACTGATACCTTAGTTTTGTTTTTTTTTTGGTCGAAGATTGAAATTAGAATATTTGTGTCTTTGATTGTTGTTGGCAGTGCTGTTTTATGTTTTGACAGCTTTTGGTGTACGTGCATATGACTGTGGAATTAACTTGAATGTATCTGGCTCTATGAATTAACCATGAGTGAGGATGAAGTGAATTTTCGGAACATGATGCTTCTTACTGCATCCTATGAATCATCTGGTTGCTTCTTATATTGAGAGGATGCAAGGCCTTGAAGGGTTTGATACATGTGCCCCAATTTGATAAAATTTTGCCCATCACCATGTTATGTATAGTCATCCTATTCTAATCAAAGGAAATCTTGATGGCCATAAAAGTTATGGCCCGAGACCGATTTTGAAGAACGAAACTCTATGGAGCAGGGCATGGGTGGAGAAGTCGGATTAGGGGTCAGTTTGGAATTGTTAGAACTTATAATGAGTCCTTATTTAAGTAATTTGTTTGTATAAGTAGCTTATATTTGATAAGCTGCTTCCAAAAGTAGCTACCATGTTTGTCAAAACTGTGCTTAAAGATTATTGCCAAAAAAATAAAGGCCATATATTGTATATAAATTAAAAAAAAATTATTAGTGACCATTATTGATTTTTTTTTTTAAATCAGAAGCATCCAAAGAAAAGAAAAAGAAAAGAAAACAATACCAAGCTTGCCCTTATTTTCTGTTTTCAATTTCTTATCTGCGGCCGAACTGGTTGATTCGATTTTGTTTCTAGTTTTAACTTCAGACAAGTCTCTTAGGGGGGGTTAGTTACCTAGAACTTAAAATTTAAAATGAGATAATCTGTGGGATAAATTTTTAAGGTGTTAGTCACATACAGTGGCGGAGCCAGGATTTTTAACATATGGGGTCCTAAAATTATTGATAATGTAGATTTTACGCACAAATTATTTTAATGACAAACTATAATTTAAAAACACATATGGGGTCCAAAAAAATCGTGAAAATATGCAGCCCAGCAGACTCGAACTCTGGTGGATTACAGGGGTCCTGGAGTGCTAAACCACTGGGCCATTGCTGCACTTATATTTTTTATATGTAATATCTGGTACATATTTAGATTTTACTGGGGTCCTGGGACCCCATTGGACTCAATGTAACTCCGCCCCTGGTCACATAGAACTAAAAATATAACAAAATTTTACAGTGTTAGTCAAGTAGAACTCTAACAAAACTAGAATTAGGGTAATGGTACAAAATTATCCTATTTTTTTATTTTTCTATACAAAAATGAGAGTTCTAGTCTCTCAAATTATTCTAAGTTTTAACTTGGAACTAGGTGGTAAAAAACAAGAACTCATATTTATTTTGTTATTTTTTATTTTTTATATTTCTTACTTTTTTTTATTTACTTCTTTCCTATTATGGTTATCACCATCATTAGACCATCATTATAATAATAATTTTTAATATTTTATAGTCTAACCAAAAGTTATTTAATAGTAAAGAATATTTTTGTAAGTAATTATCAATCAATAATAGTAAGTTTAAAATACATAAATAATATTTATATATTCAAAATGCATAAATATATATATTTCATGATTATAAAAGTTTATCTCATGTTATTTTACCAAAATATTCCAATTCACAAAATTGTTCCTATTTATCCCACTAAAGAAAAATTATTCCACTTTAACAATTATCTCATTTTACATGAAAATGTCCCAATTGACTAACACCCCCCAAGCTTGTTCCAAGCCGAAGCTAGAGTGTTCATTTCTATTATTTACTAGTTTGGCTTATTTTCTAATCAGTTTTGGGCTTTATTTCCCTGTCGCAGGGGAAGGCAGCCCCCTCTGTATCCCCTCCTTACCCCTCCGCCAGTGATCATGACTCCCCTCTCTCTCTTTCTAATTATGGTATAGATAAGAGTTAACTCAATGCTTAGACTTTAGTTTTAAAGGGGAGTTCAGCAGTTTTAACGACATCCTTCACTGTGGAGTCTGTCGCGAAAAACTTGAAGGTATGTTTGGATTTCAATGGGGTTAAGGGAAGTTAAGGGAAACTAGGTAAGAGAAGAGAAGGGAATGGAGTTCCCTTCTTCTTGGTTACACCCCAATTTGGGGGGTAACAAATTTTATACTATTAAGGGGTGGGAGAATAACTTCACCTCCTAAATGTTTCCAAACAAGGTGAATGGTTCCCCTAACTTCCCTTATTCCCCTCAATCCAAACAAACCCTAAAACATCGCAAGACCCTATTGGGCAACCCAAGGTTTGGGGTTGTTTTGTGGTATAAAAAAGTTGCCTACCAAAATTTAGGGGGATTTGTGCATTTAACCCCCATTTCCCCAACTAGCAAAGTAGAAAAAGTACATCCATTACTATAACAACTAATCTCCTGCAAACCTTAAAAACAATTCTACTAATCTCCTGCAAACCTTAAAAAAAATTCTTCTAACATGCTTCATTTCAGATTGAGCATGTAGTCTTGATAATTTCGCTCGCAGTTACAATCAACATTTCATCTCATATGCAGAGATTGAGCATGTACTCTTGATAATTTCGCTCGCAATTACAATCAACATTTCATCTCATATGAAGAGAACACACAATTCGCCACAGATCGTCATATCAACTGGTAGTTGACAATTATTCAACTCGTCACTTTGACTGACATGCGAAAATCCTATACATAAATCTGTTTTCCTAAGAAAAAGAACTATTTGTGCTCCAAAATCCTCAAGGCAAGTTGAAATTTTAGACCGTCAGCGCATTTCTCAGGACTTTATGTGTCTTTGATGTAAAACATACTTGACAACTTCATAAAAGGAAACAACTATTTTCCGGGTCAGCTACTTCAATCATATTCAAATTTGTTAAGGGCTCATCTTCTCTGTTTATTTAACTATCACCATATCTTTTTTTAGCGCTTCCAACAAAATTCTCTTAGGCTACCTCTAGTAATATCCATAATCTTATCACTGCTCTTAACCCGTGCATTCGTGGCCTTCATGGAAAATGATCAAACTATCTCAATCAAAATTCTCTCATTTTATCCTCAATGGGATTAACGTTTAACATCCAAAGAATGCACTAATTTTTATCCTACCTCTTAGCGTGTATCCACAAGTCCATCATAACATCACCGCTTCTTCTACTCATTTTTCACAAATGTTATTTCATAATTGTTGAACATTCTCATATATAAAGCATTGTTAGTCTTATAACTATTCTCCCTTCAATTTCATAGGTTTCTTACGAATTACATAAGATGCAAAAGGCACTCAATTAAACCACTCTGATTCGATTGAACAATATTATACCATCAGCAAATATACACCGCGAGACTTCGTCTTAAATGTCCAGTATATTGGTCTATAATTATTGCATACCCTCTGAAAACATTTTGACATGGCAGCAGTGCAACAGAGACGTGTTGTACAAGGTTGTGTCTGACAAAGTGTCAGACGCGGGACTGACTTTGCATTATACATGCTCCCTACATCCTTGATACTGCAGTTCTATTTTCGTTATCTACGACATCGTCACACAGTGCACAAAGTTATTCATTCATTTATTTGTGGGCCACAGTCATCTATCTACTTAGTATTATAGAGGACCTAGCAGTATTTACAGAAGAAAACATATTAACAACTAAGCTTGAAGATTGCAGTACACCAAACCTTTAATTAAAAAAAGAAAGCTGGGAGAACTTCTTTGCGCTATTTTATCCCATATAACATGTCACCAAACAGTAATTATTCCATTAAAAATGAACGGATTAATGAAACTTTCTCGTATGAGTAGAATATACAGACCTCCACACCTCAATCAGTGTTTTTCTCGTGGTCATGCCTAAAGCTCTTCCTGGATCCTTCTGTTATCAATATGAAAATCTCATTAATCACAAAAAAGAGCGCAGAACATACAGAAAGGGGAATATAATTTTCTACTTTCTAAGTCAAGATGAAGGATATGATGGCTTGAAACCCGGTGGTGCCGCTGACACAAATTTGTATGTAGAAAGAAAACAAATGATCCACATATGTGAAATTACGAGGAAGGCTAGCCTTGGTAGAACTTCTCATAACAAAACTAAAGGAACTGACCTCAATCTGTCTTCGAGTTTTCACAACATCAAGGGGACAAGTTGCAGCAGCAGCAAGGCTACCAGCAACAAAACCAGCGGAGAAATTCGCTGCAAGAACACAAGCTGCACTGCTTTCCTCACCAATCATCTGAAGTAACCTCCTTCGAATCTGTAGCATAGCAACTACCACAATTACTAAACCATATGCAATCTCAGACCAGAAATTCGTTTCATCGTGAATCTTAGAATGGATTGAAGTAATGGAATCCACAAAATAAAGCATAATGGAGGAAGACAGGAATCGCGTACCGGCTCAAGAGTCGACCAGCAAATAGCAGAAAAAGGGACATCACGAGCTAATTGTGCTCCCACGCCCGTCCATAGTAAACGGTAACCTTGCACTGCTTAAATCATTCAACAAAGTTTAATGACAACGTAGGGACAACGAAGGTGTTGGTACGGGTTTTAAACAGACCTGACCCGCTCAAATGACTGGCCAGTCTGAGTATTCGGGTTGGACCTGAATATCAACCCGAAGTGGGGCCAGGCTAACCCTATTACAGGTCAGGGTTTGTTGCCTCTATTTCCCCAGAAAATATATACAGGGGTTCATGAAGAGGTGCAGAAAAAGCAAATACCGTATCCTCCAAAAGTTCTTGTTTAGGGCTAGTCGTGACTTGTGGGTGATAAGCTGGGCTTTCGCGCTTTTTACGAAGTGACTATTCTCTGACCGTTGATCAAGACAATCAACAAGGTAAGGCTAGCACTGATTTACAATCTACTATTAAGGTATAATCATCTAGTCATTTATAAATTTTAGCAAGCATATCAGGACTGTTTTTCTTCCAATGTATGATCTATGCTTTATTGTTAGATAGCTCTATTGGATTACTTGTCCTAGTGATACATCACCATAAATCTACAGAAAATATTCACAGGAAAACAAGTTAAACTGTATGCATTAATTTGCACAATCCATGTATAATGGATACACTTTACCCTGCCTATTGGCAAAAGAAATGGTATTAGTAATAGATTGGAAAGGAGATTTGATTATCTCTCCCTCGTCAACAAATAGTATTACCTCGAATATAAGCTTATAGCACAGACAAAGGAGAACTGAGGAAGACTATACCATTATCGAGGTACTTTGTGCTCCTAAAGGGTGATAGAATTCCAAGTAATGTTTTCCACATTCCAGGGAGCTTCACACCAGCTTGGAACTCTTTAAAAGCCTGTTTGATACAAAAAGTAACAAACTAGTACATTTTATGTGATTAATTGGTGGTATGAAAATTACCAAAGGAAACACCAACTTTAATGTAGAGATGCTTGCTCAGACAAATTCCAAAAATAAAGAAATCACTGACCTTTTTAGTTAGAAAATAACAAACGAAAACAAACAAGCAACAAAGTCTTTAACCTAAATTGTTAGGCTCGGCTACAAGAATTCTATTCTTCCATATTCTATATTGGGTCATCTCCTTTGTTAAGTAAACTAATTCATATCCTTTAAAACACTACCCAACATTCTGATCCTTAAAACATTGTTAGTCTTATAATTATCCTATAGAATTTTCTCTTCAATCTCGTAAATACCCAATGACCACACAATCCTCTAAAGAGAATCCTCCATTTGAACCATCGTGATTTGATATGACGAACAACATTATCCTCAATCTCATTAACATGACAAATAATTGATCCTAAACAACTAAAGTGATATACTTTTAGATATTTCTTGATTGTCAAGATATACAACAGGCTCCTTTCTCCTTACAGTTTTATTAGAATTATATTCCATTTGTTCTTATTTGTTCTACTAATTCTAAATCCTTCAGATATATGATCTTATCTCCACCTTTCTATTTTATAAATTATGCTACAAAGCTTTGTCAACCAATACTATATCATCAACAAATAACATGTATTATGGAATGAAGTAAACTTATGTCTACTAATATGGTCTATATCTAAAGCAAAATGGACAAGGACTTATAGATGATCCTTAATGTAAACCTATGAAAATAAGACATAACTTTGCCTCCTTATTTGTTCTCACTCTAGTTATTAATCTATCATACATATCTTTAACTTTGTCTCCTTATTCGTTCTCACTCTAGTTATTACTCTATCGTATGTATCTTTTATTACATTAGCAAACATACTAGATAATGTTTATTCCTAAAACTCACTCTCCATTGTATCCCAAGGCACTATATCATAAGCTTTTTTCTATATCAACAAAAACCATATAAAGATTCTTTCTCTTCTCTGTATACCTCCATCAAACATCTTAATATATAAATAGGTTTCATAATTGACCTTCTAGGCATAAAACCAAATTGGTTCTTAATGGACATATCTTCTTTCTCAGCTCTTGCTTAATTACACTCTTCCAAAGTTTTATAACATGAATCTTAAGTTCAATACCATAATAGTTTGGACAAGTTTGTGTATCTCTTTCATTCTTGTAAATCTGTACCAAAGTGTTCATTGTCCACTCATTAGACATGTTTTAGTCTCAATAAACTTGTTCAATATATTAGTAACCATCCTAACCATGTACCTCCGATTCTTTTTAAATTACAACAGAAATATCATTCAGTACTGCGGCTCTTCTACTTCTCATTTTCTTTAAAGCATCTTTAGTCTCATTGATCGTAATTTTTGACAATATGTATAGTTTCTATCATGCACTATATGGTCATATTCTCTCTACCATTCTCCTACTTGATTATCATCAAACAATATATATAAGTAATTTCATCTATCTTTAATTTTCTCGCTGGTTAATAGAACTCTTAGATATTCACTCTTGATACATACAACATTACACAAGTCTGTACTCATTCTTTCTCTCATCTTAGCAAATCTTATATGTGTGTGTATACATATATCTTTTTTTTTTGTCCTTAGATGCTAACTTCTTAAATAAAGTATCATAAGCCTTGTATTTAGAGTGTTTGGAGGGGCTTATTTTTAGAAGCTTTTAAGCTGCATTAGTTCTTTCTTGGTGGCTTTCGACTTTTATGGAAAAATATTATACAAAACTTCGGGTAGAAGAGTAATTTGTTTGGTCAAACCTAGTCTGTTTATGTGAGCATAGAAGCTAGTTTTTCAAAAGCTGGGGTATACCAGCTTTCTAAAATAGGCATTATAAACTAACTTATTCGATATTTTACCAAACAAGTAAATATAAAAATGCTAACCTAAAAGCTAGTTTGACAAAAAAAGCTCCCCCAAACACCCATTAATCTCAATAGTATCTTTTTTCGCCTCTTTTTCTTTGGTAGTTTATATTTTTCAAAATTTCCTTAATACCACACTTTTGTCAATCCTTATATAATGTTTTCTTCACTATAATCACTTTTTGATCTTCTTCATCCCATCATTACGCCATGCCTAGATTCTCCAAGAATTTCTTACCTACCATCTTAATGCAAGGAGACATACTATTCCGCATAATATTAGTCTCATCATCTATATTCCACGTATCTACATGTTAACTTGTGTTGTGTGGTTAAACTCTCACACACACACTCTCTCTCCCCCCTCCCTCCCTCCCTCCCTCGCCGTACAATTTTACCCTGTACAATTTTACAATCGCTGCATGTTAACTTATCTATCCTTTTAGTAAGAAAAGTCCGACTACTCAGAAATCCATTTTTAAATATTATTAAGTGCCCATACCTCTCTTTAGAAGTATGCATTTACTATTATAAAATCATATGACATTGTAAAATCTAAAATCATCTCTATTGTATTCTTCTTTTCTCCATATCCAAAACCTATACATATACTCTCATATTCATTATTATTTTTACCAACATGCTTACAAATATCTCCTATATATACTCTCCTCAGTACTAACAATATTAAGTACAATTATGCCTAATATAATTTTTAATAGTATTATTTTATCTCCAAATTGTTTACATCTATAACATTATCTTTTTATTATGTTATCTACAAGTATCCCATCTTGTTTCTACGCTTCTTTTTTCTTGTATACGAAGTATGTACCCGATATTTTCAATTTCCCCATAGTTTTCACCTACCCATTTAATCTCTTGCAGACACTATATTAATTTTTCTTCTAATCGTGATATCTATTGATTTCATCATCTTTCCTGTAAGTGTAATTGTATTCCAAGTAAAGCCTCTCACTCCTTTCTCTCCCATGACTTTCTAGTTTATGCCTAATAGGCTAATACTATTTGGTATCTTGTTAGAGAATAGTAGTTTCTTAAAACACCTTTGCTTATTTGTTCCTACACTAGGGTGGCATCAATGTAACACATAGGAATGCCCTAGTAAAGCATCCTCGCCTACCTATCATTGCTAAAGTAGTATCGATTAAATTCGTCACAGTGGGGATGCCCCCAATGAATATTCTCAGATCTGACTATGTTCACATTGGTTGTCAGCTATGTAACACAACCTACGTTACATGGACTCGGGTACGAGTATCCGATACGGGTGCGGATCCGAGTATCCGATACGAAATTTCTGAAAATTTGGGATACGGGGACACCGTCTTAAATTTCGACACGGGTACGGGGATACGGCAATAAAAAATATTAAAATTTCATAAAAAAATTCGTACCCGTATACACTTTTAAAATTTCATAAACTATATGAAGAAGTGACGGTACAACTAATTTATTTTTTAAAATTATTAGGTGTATGTATGATGTATATAAAATGTTCTTGGGTGATCAAGTGAAAATAAGAATATCAATTTAAAAAATAATAATTTAATTTATTTAATGAAGTAAAACTAATTAAATTTCATTCCTCTAACCCGTATACACTTTTAATTGCTTCAAATATCTATTGTAAATCCAAGAATTTCAAAAATTATACATCTGTAACAACTTAAGCCTAAATTTACAGAAAAACAAAGTTTAATCAACAACTCAACATGTGAAAAGCTTTGTAACTTTTCAACTTCCATTTTTAACTCTTCAATCTTCATTACCTGCAAGCAAAAGAAATCGTGTTAGACAACTGTTATGGAAATTAATTGCTCCAACCACGTCATTATTACTCAGCCTATAGTCAAATTCACGGATTCACCCCCTCACCGATAGTCACATTCACGTTCGTATTCATCCCCTCACATTCGCACCTCATATTAGGGGGGGAAAGGAAAAAGAAAAGGGGAAAGCAACGGTGACGGCGAAATTATCAACGGCGACGGCGAAATTAAGCCATTGCACTCGTCTCGACCTCGCGTGCAAAAGCCCCATCACCACTACAAACAATTTCGAAGATCATCTGAAGCAATTTCCAGATCTAGTGTTTACTATTCAAACCCTAGATCTCAAAATATTTTAATGGTTGTTCGTCTGTGCAATTGATCTGCCAATTCGACGTTTTTTGGTATGTAATTTCATCTTTTATTTCTCTATTTCTTTGGGTTTTCGATTCACACACCTCGTCGTATCCGAGAGCCGACCACCGTATCCGACCCGTATTTCATACCCGGATTGGTGTCGGGTCGGATCGACACCGATACGGTGGTCAAACCGCCGTGTCCGAGTAACATAGAACACAACCTTCCTCCCTTATCTTGGCTTGAGATAGGTAGTACTGACAGTAAAACTTTTAGTTAGAAAATACAATGAAAAAACTGGTGAACAACAAACGAGAACAAAGAATAATTGCCCAAGAGTACTAGATATGGGATCATAAATACATCTTTGAGAATCAATGCTAATAGAAACACCACATCGACAAAAAAGAACATGAGCTTTTTCGAGAAAACAGTGAAGAGCTTCAAGGTAAAAGAGAACCCATACAACTTAAGTTATATAACACTTGTTGCTAAGACAATATAAGGAAATTTTAATTTACGAACAAAAGTATGATTATCATTGCTCTCTCCAAATCCTAGTTGTAATGACTCTCTACCTCCTACAAGACTGAGAAGATAAGCTAGTTCAAAATCATAAATGCAGGGTAAAGCAATATTCTCATAGAGCAACAAGCATGCTCTAATTAAGGTTTAAATTGGTGACTCAGTATCTTTTACTCCATACAACAGTTCATACAAATTAGAACTTGCAACACCAATCACTTGGGTGCAGAAGCTTGGTTGGCTCAAAACTTGAGTCACAAATGTTTAAAAGATTTGAACTGTAGTTCATTTGGAAATGTGATTCAACAAAAGAGTCATGCTTTTGGCACTATACTTGATCAGAAGCCTCTCAACAAAGATGAGCCAGAGTGCAATTCTCTCTATAAAATTGGAGCAGATCTAAAGTCAGGAGGAGATTATGTGGTTGCAAAGGTCAAAGGCCCACTCGATCAAAGAGCAGAACTTCAATACCAATTACTCCCACAAACTCTTTTTATAAGAGATTTCACATGCACAAAGAAGCAAACTTATGAAGGCATACCGATAGAGAATATCTTTTTGAAAGTTAAGGGGATATCATTCAATCGCATACTGATATTACAGAAGCAATCATCCATTAATATCATGCTCTTATTGGATCAGCAGCAGCTCTTATATAAGCAATCATGCAGACAATCTTCTTTTTTTAAAATTAAATAATCATATATAAGAGAAATCAAACACTTCAACACTACTACTCAACACAGCATATGTTATATCAGAGAGGAAAGAACTGTGCTCTAAAAGATCAGCAAGACAAACGAGAAGGGGATTTGGTTTTAGTATCCTTAAACCAACAATGAGGAAATAAAGAAAAGCAAGAGAAATTATGGGTATGTGTGTCTATGAGAGACAGAGGAGAGTTGAGGAGCATCTTTTGAGGAGCATCTTGTTAAGTGTTTTGGATGCAGACATGGTAAAAGAGAGGAGAGAGAAAAGGCTACAACTATGAAAGAGCTGTATTGTAAAGTTTTTCAGATGAAGAAATGAAGAGGAGAGAGGTGAAAGCAACAGAAAATTAAGGGCAAAAGTACCCCTTCTCCAACAAACACACATGAGACCAGGGGTAAACATGAAAGACAGAATCCATGGCTAAATAAAGTTATCGTGAACTTTTTTAATGATGAAATTGACCTCAGTATATTGTGGAAGCTGGTCTACTCTGATACCATATCAAAGAATAACTTCACCAAAGAGAAAACTGTTCAATAATAAACTAATAATACATATCAAACTAACATTAATCTTCAGTTATATATGCAATTAATTGCCGATTGAAGAGTACCTGCTACTATCTTCGCACGTAGACTATATAAATTGAAAATGAAAACATGAGAAGGTTACCTGCATTCGTGTTCTTGCCAGCTCAATTGGAGAACAAGCTACACAAGCTAAAGAACGTGCAACTGACCCTGCAACTAGGGGAGTATAAGGTGTCAAAGTAGGAGAATGCTGGGATGTAAATTCCTCAATCCAGTCGTGAAATATGTCATAACAAGGTAAGTATATTCCTACCTGTTCAACAAAATGAAGTGAACTTAAGAAAAGAAAAGGCAGGCAGAAAACTCCACTTCAACAACGTTAACAAGACAAATCCAGATCCATGGGTATGACCTTATTCGTATTGCTGTTATAACAAACCAACCATGAAACAAACAGAAACAATCAAGCTACACAACTTGTGGTGGAAACAGCTCATCAAATTAGAAAGATTACTCATTCGTTCTATGACCCTTGGCATTATCAAGGGATCATTTATGCACATGGCAATTGCACTCAACTTTATTTACGCACATATGATTTCAATCCTTTATCCTGGAAATGTTCTGTTAACATGTTCTTAATGGAACCCTGGGGTCTTTATCCAACACCCTTGATACTCTTGCTGTATGAATACATTGAAAAATATCTAATCAAGAGCATAAGAAGGAACAAGAAAAAATTCTTAGAGGCGGTAATTTATGTATCTTAAACAAGAAGCTTGAATCTTAGTAAAAGCAGTTTTCAAACATATTTTAAACTAACTCTTCAGCCCAAGGACATGTTATCCTCTTATAACTACATAACTAGAACCTACTGTGATAGTTGGCATGAAACCAGTTGATCAGCTGCACTTTTCAAGTTCAACTCAACAACAAAGGACCACAGTAGCTTCCAACACATATAGAAGGGTCTAGACTAGAGGGAAAGCACATTTATGGAATGATGATCAATCTAGCACAAAAAAATATACAGATCTATAGACATAAATTTGTTTGTATAAATATGCATCTCATAAAGGCTACACTATATCATATTGATGCATAGCCGTTTCCATAAATGGGATAAAGGCTTTGTATACTGTTGTTCTATCATAATGATGCATGCTTAACAATTCTTGTACAAAAGAAATTTTAGAGAATAATTAATTCAATAACATCCTAGTACTTTACGGGGAAAAAGAGAGATTCTTCAGTAAATTCTCCAGGGAACTGCCTTCCCATAAAATAACAATAGAGCAATAAGCCCCAACCCTAAATCATACATTTATGGCTTTTTAGAGCTCAGGACTTCTGTATATGTTTCAAATAAAATTAGTTCATGATAATGACCCAAAAAAGTCTGTTTGAAATTTATGGATTTTTACATTGAGAATATTGCCTCAGTTATCTATTGTATGAATATGCATAGGATTTATAGCATTAATTTTCAAGGTTATTCATTCACCAAAAGCAGAAGATGAAGAACCCACAACTGTACATATTAAATAGAGATAGGATGTCCGTGCATCCCAGGCTGAACAAGGTATACTGTATAGTTTGCCTGTATCTCTGACTCTCCCTTGATGTAGTGTATTACTTTCATAACGAGCAATTACAACCATAGAAAAAATAAGACTAAAAAATATATAGAAATAGGAAAAGAAACGTAACCCGAATCGCTAGGAACTTACAGTTGGTACAGCTAATACTAGACTCGCATTTGTGCCTCTCCATAACCTAGAAAACCCTTCCTGTAAAATATCTTCATTATATTCATAAAACCAATTCAGATATAATGCTAATGAATAGACAATAAGAAGAAACGTAACAATGACCCTTAACTGTCTGAATTTCTTTTAAATGGTAAAATTAGCAAAATAAAAGACTATTACCTGTCTAACAACTTTGTACATGACATCCAAGGTTCCTTTGTACCGAAAACAATCTGGAGAACAAAACGATTCAGTGGAAATGGTTCCACCACGAGTGCATGATGGGGAACATCTGAGATTTGAGAACATCTGAACAGCATATTTGTAACAACATTAAAAGCTAATATCCTAACACATTTACGAGTTTTCCAAAAATATTCATGTCATAATACTGAGTATTTCATGTCACATAGTAATACCTGATAAAAACAGTTTTGGTCTTCCAATTCAGAAGAAAGCATAAATATATAATAGGAACCTAGAATCAAGGTTATCGATAGCGGATAGTGTCGCGTAGCGGTGAGGCATCGCTAAGGCTATTTGGGGCTATTGCGGCAAAATAGCGGCAAAAAGCGCAAAATCAAATAGCGGTCTAATTTAGATATGTGTAAATACTAAAAAAAGATTAAAGAAAAATCTAGAAAATCTAAAAGTGCATATTTCTAATTTAGATATGTGTAAATACTAAAAAAAGATTAAAGAAAAATCTAGAAAATCTAAAAGTGCATATTTGATGATTTAAAAAAGATTAAAGAAAAATCTAGAAAATCTAAAAGTGCATATTTGATGATTTAAAGAGATCCTAAACATGACATAGACATGTAATCGTAACATAATGCCAAAGACGACTGGAGGAGAAGTCAAAGAGTCGTCGTCTTCGAGAAGATGAGTTGAGCGGTGAGAGGACTGCCTAGGAGGAGCTCATGGTGAAGGAGGTGAGAGGAAGTGCTGAGTTAGGTGTCAGAGGCTATAAGAGGTGGTGGGAGCACACTGAAAATCGCGGGAGGCGGTGGAATGCAGTGGTTAAAGGTTGGGTTTAATTTTAAAAAAATAAACCCTAAACCGCTTTTAAATAGCAGTCAAAAAGCGGATTTTGTACGCAATCTCCCGCTATTTACGTTAGGGCGTGCTATTGGTTGTTTTTGCGAACGGAAAGCGCATATTCCGTAATATGCCACCGCTATTGGGTGATGGCGTAGCGGGAAGGGACCGCTAATATTACGGAGCTATTTACCGCTATTTATAACAGTGCCTAGGATCAAAGTCAACTTATATGTTTTTCTTTTTTTGTTAATTATTCAAATTGAATAGAGAACCATGCGAATGGTTTGGCTGATGGTTCCTAATAACACTTAAATCAACTACCGTTTTCCTTTCACTCCCAGACTTCCTTCATCTTTTTGTGCCACTTAATTTAAGGCTTATAGGTCTATAACATCGGTGATTAATACAGAGAACATAATGCTGAATATGTCATTTCAGTGTCAAAATGCAAGTTTAGACAACACAACACAACACGGTGCATAAATTAGAAACTGCACCAGCTAACTTACAGCGATATGTGTTGACAATAAGACTATTTTATTCTATGACGCATTATCATGGTTTCTAATTACATATATTAACTACAACCTTTGCATATTTTTTTATTTTCTTTATCTTGGAACTAACAACCTTGTATTAGATATTACTTGTTAGATATTATCACAAGAAAAACCATCTGCGATTGGTGAACCAAAGAGTTCATAAGAAGACTAACGGCCTAGACCCTCTCAGACTCGGACAATGTTCTTGTCCTCTCCACCTCAAACAACACCCCCTCCCCCACCCCCCACCCCTCACCCTAAAAAAAGAGTAGATGAAAAAGAAAGAAAAAGAAAATCACCATAACCCCCAAATGATACAAGTGTATCTTCTCTGCCTCGGGAGCTTAGCGATCCACATGATAACTTGAGGATAGTTGATTCTCATGGTAGCTTGAGAATAGAAACGCGGGTCAGTACAACTGGCGAAACGCAGATTGGAAAAAACTTCTTATCGGTTGACTAATGATGACTTGCGTCGGTCGACCGATGATGATCCCGGAGTTCGGGATGAGTTTCTGCTCGGTCGACTGATAAGAGGATCGGTCGACCGATGATGATCCCGGAGTTCGGGATGAGTTTCTGCTCGGTCGACTGATAAGAGGATCGGTCGACCGATAAGAACTCTGAGTTGTGGAAGACTTTCTGCTCGGTCGACTGCTAAGAGGAACAGTCGACCGATAAAGTCATGCACATTGTGCACGTTTGCGATCAGTCGATCGACGGATTAGATCGGTCGACCAATAATTAGGCCGGTTGACAGTTGGTTTTCTTAATCTGTTTTGATTTAGGGTTTGATACACATAGGAGGCGTTTGAGAGGTGTTTGAAGGAGGGAGAGAATAGAGAGATTGTTTTTTATTCTAGAGAGATTGTAAGGAAAGAGGGATTTGTAATCTATTGTTCTTCATAATCTAGAAAATATATTTTCCTTCACCATATTGAATTATTCTGGTGTTTTGCTATTTTCTTCACAAAGATATCTTTGATAATTCCGCGATCAAAGGTGCTCGTACGATGACTCGTATTAAGTTGGTATCAGAGCAATCAGATCATCTGAAGGGTGTATCCTGTGTATGGTCCTTATTCGATCGCAATATAAGAAGCTAAGCGAGATTCTTGTTTCTTTAAAAGAAATCCAGAAATCAAGAAAGAAGATGGAAGAAAACGACCATTCATCAAGACTTGATGCGGTAGAGAAACAGATCGAGACAATCAGTTCGACTCTCACGAAGCTCGTCGATCTCATCCACGGAGGCGACAAGAAGGTTGAACCTACGGCGGAGCCAAAGATGCAACTTACAGAATCCAATGGAAATATTGATGATGCAGATTCCGACGAGGTCGAAACCGTCAAGATTGTTCCACATCAAGGAGGAAAGGGGTCTTATCAGAACCTGAAGATTGATTTCATAGTGGAGATTCTTGTTTATGATGAGAGTGTCGACGTTGAGAGGCTTGACGATTGAATCGAGCGTATGAAGACCTACTTCACTCTTTATGGCTATTCGTCTACGGAGAAGATCGTTTTTGCGACACTGAAGCTTTTCGGGCACGCACTAACGTGGAAATCCTACTACAAGCAGGAGAAAAAATGTGTCGTGAAGAAGGTTCAAGGATCTGCTTCGGAAGTAGTTTTACCCGGTGGGATTTCTTGAAGAGTGTTGGTACAAGTAGTACGACTTACGATAAAGATTCAATCAAACCGTTTAAGAATACACTACGAAATTTTAGTAACAGGTTATGGTCCCAAATATTGCAATAAAGGAGTACTCTGTTTTTACGAAATATATGGCGGGTTTGAATAAATATATCCGGAAGGAGATGAAGCTATTCACGGTTGAATAGATTGCGAATGCTAGTGTGAATGCTATTGTCATTAAAGATAAGCAGAAGAAGAGCAATGAGACGAAGGGAGATGTCAAGCAGGCTGGAGGCAAATCTAGTGGCTCCTAAACCTAAGGAGGACAAAAGGAAGGGTGATCCAGGAAAAACAGGACTGACTTGTAGTCATGCAAGCAGACAGGACATGTCACTGATCGGTGCTGGGAGAAGTATCATCATCTCAAGCCGAAGGGGTTAAAGGAGGGAAAAAAGACATATATGATAGCACAAGATCCAAAAGAAGTTCCAGGGATGACGAAACCTAACAGCAGTCTCAACCTTATGACAGGATAACAGATCGCGAGGCAGGACGAAGATCTTAGAGAGTAACTCTTTGTTCTTAAGTTGCAAGTGAAGACCAGTTTGATAGATACCATAGTTGATACAGACAGTCAAAAGAATTTAATATCCGAGACCTTAGTTCAGAAGCTGGGTCTGAAGACGGTCAGGCATCCAAAACCCTATCAATTGGAGTGGATTCAGAAGGAGGCATGACTGAGTGTAGCTAATCAATGCATTTTCAGATTTGCACTTCACGAATCGTATATTAACGAGATCATGTGCGACATAGTTCCATTAGATGATTGTCAGGTTATACTGGACAATCCTTATTTGTGGGATAGGTACGCAATCTACGACAGACGGACCCAGAAATATACGTTCACCAAAGACGACGAGCAGTTCGTATTTCGTTCGGCGTCTCTTTCGCAGGAGACAAGCTTACTGACGGTGACTCAGGCTAAGAGGCTAGTGAATGCAAGCAAAAAGTGTATCTTGCTATTCATTAAGCCTTACAAGGAGCAACTGAGTAGAGATGTTTGACTACCTTGAGCCACCAACTCCAGGAGGAAGACCTTGACCGGCTAAAAGTCAGGTATGCAGACTTGTTTTCGGAGATCGCTAGACTACCGCCAAGACAAAGTGTGGAGCATGAGATTATGTTAACAGTGAAGAGTTCTTTGCCGAATATAGGTCTTTTCATACATCTGTACAAGAGTACGAGGAGATAAAGATGCAAGTTCAGGACCTTCTGGAGAAAGGTGTGATAGTGCCGAGTAGTTCGGCTTGTGGGTCGCCAGTGTTGTTGGTGCCCAAAAAGGATAGTGACTAGCGCATGTGTGCGGATTATCAGACGCTCAGTAAGATAACGATCAAGAATCGTTACCTACTACCGCGGATCGATGATCTTATGGACCAATTAGAGGGAACGAGGTTCTTCATAAAATTGGATCTTAAGTCTGGTTACCATCAGGTGAGGATTCGGGAGAATGACACTTGGAAGACAGTGTTCAAAACCAAACAAGACTTGTTCGAGTGGTTGGTGATGTCGTTCAGGTTGTGCAACGCTCTGATGATCTTTATGATGCTGATGAATGATTTGCTGCGACCTTTTATAGAGGATTTTGTATAGTTTATCTTGATGATATCTTGGTGTACAGCAAGGCATGGGAGGAACATCTTGTTCATATCGAGAAGGTGTTTGAATACTACGAGACGGTCAGCTGAAGCTCAATAGAAAAAAATACGAGTTTGGGAGGGACAAATTGGTGTATCTCGGCTTTATCGTGGGGAAGGGCCAACGGAGGATAGATCTAAGCAAAGTTACGGTTATCACGAGATGGCCAACACCTAGGACAGTAACGAAAGTGAGAAGCTCAATGGGGGCTTGTCAGTATTTGCGCAAGTTTATTCAACATTTTTTTTACTTATGCAGCTCCCTTACATGGACTTACTAAGAAAAAAGTTCAGTTCGAGTGGGGTCGGACTCATGATGAGGTTTTTTAGTTACTGAAAAGGAAGATCTCTGAGGCATCAGTTTTGACGTTGCCTAATTTGCAGAGGA